ACGGGCCTCGTTGGCTATTTACCATCTCATATCCAACGCGCGCTCATGGAATAATTGTTAATTATTCACCTCTTACCAAGTGAATAATGCGTTATCCAAACAAAAACAAAATTGTCGGCGTAAACTGGCGATTCAAAGTCGTGTTCGTTAAGATATAAAATAAACAAGGACAATTCCCTCAGATTTCGATAAATGCTGCCGTCGAAGCGTTTAAATTCACCAAAATCCAACGCTGAGTGCACAAAATAGCGAAGCCTACGGCGACTGAATGAAAAGAAGTTATAGAAAGATCCACCGCAAAGATGCTCACATGTTCGCCACATGTCTTGTCACATGTCTTAGTAACGGTACCAGTTTACTGGCCATTTCGGTGTCCTTACAGGAATGTGGATTTTTTCTGCATATAACCGTGCAAGAAAGCCACAGGTCAAAATTAGGCTTGCGTTCTCCGAACGCAATTAATTCAACAAACTAATAATTTAACGTAGAAACGTGAAAAGTAGGCGGGATCGGGATTTCCAGGGAAAAAAGGGCGGGATGGCGGGATTAACAGGGAAAAATGGGCGGGAAAGCGTGATCTGAGAACCCTATTGTGGACCCTCGGCACATGGCAAATGACAGAGGTGTCAAATTCTACAAAGCGATAGATAGCAGCTGAAACTGTGCAGAGCTCTGGCCTCTAACAGTCCAACGGCTCTACTCTACTTTTAAAAACAGTCATCCTGATAACACTGCATTGAGTGCCCTTCAGAGACAAGTGAAGAGCAAAATAAAAGGTTGAGAGGCTAGAATTTATAAGAGAACGGCAAATGTAGAAATGTCACGAGCCGTAGGAGTCCGTAGGCCTGTAACCCGAATCAAACACATTTTGTTTTTACTCGCGTCTGACGTCACGTGGCTTAAAGCAACCAATCAGCAAAAACCGTTCGCCAGGCGAACGGTTTGAAGAGCATAAACAATGGTGTGACTACAGGCGGATTTTTCTCGCGTCGCGCGCGCGCTGGTGTATGGCGTTAGAGCCCGCTGATCCGCCTGTTCTGCAGGCTACGTCAAGTTTTGCACAAATGTGTCATAATCCTAAAGTTTCCTGTAGACAATTCCATCGTGTCATTAAAAACGTGTCAGAAAGAGACAAAACATTTAGTCGGCAATTCGGGAAATCGATTTACGTGAGGAATTTGGATTAAAAGCAAAAAGTCAGGTTGGAACAGCATCTTTTCTAGGCTGGGACGCAATCCTAATCGTGCAATCGCCGGTTGAAAACTTAGACGTTATAAGTCGAATTCGAAGATCATCTGTACCGACGCTTTGAAAATCAGTTAATGTTATGGGCAGTCAGAAAATTATCTGAAAAATTATGGCAAAGACTTGAAATTTCGCTCACGATTTCCATGCGCGATAGAAATCTCGAGCTCATAATCTAATTGTTTACAAGAAATGCCAAGCGATTCTGAAAACAGCACGACGGAAAAATCACTCTCACGATTTTGTTACATATTCCGAAGCACTCAGCAACTGTATTGCATGGACTTCAGCCTGGGTGAACCACAAAAGGATATGTAACATGTCCTATAATGTCACGCATTACTGAAAAATTGTGTGGTTTTTGTAAAATATCCTGTAGCACTCGGCAACGTAGAAAGCGAGGACGTTTGCGTGGGCAAACCAGAGAGGATTTATAATATGTGGCTATATGGTGATTTTTCTGTATATCTGGATTTGTCTTTCAGAAAACTGGTGTACCGTGGACTTCAGTCTAGGGTCTAAACCAGGAATGAAAATACTGATTTAACATTTTAGTAGCTATCTTAGTCCCCATACAATCTAAAAGCATGACAATACGATATGATATAATTAAAATATTAATCCGAAGACTTAACTTGGTGCGTTCGGCTTGTTGAGTTTTTAAGCTGTTGTCTTGATTCGATACTCTAGGAGGTTGGTCACGGGCAGCGCTAGCTGAAGACACTTTCTGGCTCTCTCCGTTGTTCTTGGGTGAATGAATTGATGTATAGATCAATCGTGGCTGGCGGTTTTGTTTGGTTTTCAACAACTGTTTTACGGTTTAAGCGACAACCAGTCCAAATGTATAGTCAGAGCAGCTTCTTTGTTTCCCTTCCCGTGAAAAGAAAACCCGCGCGCCTTCTTTAACTCCTCGAGGCAAATTCGATTGGAAACTTGCTCAATTTTGCACAAATGCGTCAGAGGGATACCCTATCTTCTAACTCAGAGGCAATCTCGTTTTGAGTTCGTTTTCAACGACCAATGACGGGTTCATTCGAAGTCGAAGTCTTTATCATATATGACCGCGCAATATTTCCGCGTTGTGAAAATTTATTATAAAATATCAATTATGTGGCCAGATCATATCTGAAAATAACCAGGTTACTTTTGTACACAATTACTCTCACTGAAAGCAATTATCGCTAACAACAATAGAACCGCAAAAGTCTTGCGATGACAGCAACCTAACAGATAAATGACGTCACCTCATAGCAACCGGACCTGGCGAATTTTTGAGCTTCCGGCTAGCTCTGGCTCCTGATGTTTGCAAGCAGACTTTCGATTAAGATTGCTGAATTGAACGCTGTTAAGAGACCATTTTGCTAGATTGTGGCGAGGATTTTATCGAAGGTTAGCTAGATCTGCCATGTTTGAAAATTCTGTGAATAGTTTCGCGCATGCTTCGTGCCGTTTGCACGTTTTCAAAGCATGAATTGAGAGGTCTATGAAATCGATTTTTAATGGTGTCCTTTTCGTCTGTTGTTGAGATCACATCGTGGTGTATACTAAAACAACTAGTTTACCAATAAATGGTACAAAATGCTGCCAAAGGGAGGAGGATGTAAGGAGTGTCAACGCAGAGCAGGGATGTTCCCGTACAGAACTCAGGATCGTCGTTATATGACTTCTCGGATTACAGAACTCAGTTTCATTACATTTTCAACACTCAAGCTCTTATTTAGTACACCTGGAGTTTTCAGAAACTACTCAAAATAATTACACAATGCAGTCCCGTGCATTAAATTCGCGATTTGTCTTCAAAACACAGTTGAAAGCTCATTGATCGTTATGGCTTTGCGACCATCGAAGGAAAGAAACATTCTCTAGGTGTTCTGCATCTGAAAGGTTTTTATGACTCTCTACTCCATGAATCTCCTGTTTGTTGCCTCTTAAACGTTTTCTGTTTTCGAAAACAAGACCCTGCAAGCTTTGTGTCGTGATGCGCCATTATGACGTGTACAATGTGACATTTCACACGGGTTTACATGCAGTGGCCGAAGGGTCAAACTTGTGGACCGTACGCACGGTGACGTCATAGCGTAAAGTTTTCGCATCGTTAAACTACCAGATTTTCTCACCCATGGGGCTCCGCTAGCCACGCAGGGCTCCGCGACTATAATCCACATAGTTTCACGATATGTGGACAAACATTTTTAACAGTGTGGACAGCATTTTGGTAGTCTAGTTATCTGTGCTCGAATAATTCGATTAACTGTATACACAGCAATCATAAACGTAATTTATTGTTAAAAAAATATATGTTGGTGTTACACTGTCATATGCACGTAGCTGTTCATGAAAAGCAACCTAACTTGAGCCATAAGGCGCGCTGTTGCAAGTTTTATATGCCTCTGCATACATGTTAACAGGCCTTGAATTCTCTAATTTTGTACTCTGAGCCAGGCTAGTGTCCGTATATTGTCTACAAACTGACACTTCCTGGAAATGTGTTTAATCTTAGCTGTTCTTAAGCCCTGTCCAAACGGAGTCGCAAGTAGACGGAATTTCTCAACTTGCGTCTACTTGCGACTTCGTTTGGCTAGGCGTTACGTGCACTTGCGTTGACTTGAGATGACTTGGGCTCACTTTGGTCGAGATCAAATTTAC